TATTTTATCATTTTTTTTACTTTGGCCATAAAAATTTATTTCTCTATTTTGGCCTTTCACATTTTAAGTTTTTCTTAATTTATTCTTAAAATTAACTTTCGTCCAAAATTAGTTAGAAAATATCGCACTGGTAGGCACATGATATGCAATATATTATTATATTTAACTTACATTTCTTCCTCAAACTTAAATCTAAATATAATAGTATATTTTTTTATGTCTCATGACCGCCAACACATTATTTTCTATTTAATTTTGGATAGAAATTAATTTTAAGAGTAAATTAAAAAAATAAAAAATAAATTGTGAAAGAGTAGCAGGGAAAAATAAAAACCATTTAAGGGTCAAAGTGAAAAAAATAATAAACTATCAATAGGACAAAATATAATTTACTCTTATTTTAAATATTAATCATCAAAAAAAAAATTGTTCAGTTTACATAAATATAGTGAAGAGTATGTTTATAAAAAAAATTAAATTAAATTAAATGTTACCCTATAATATCTAAAGAAACTATAGAATAAGAATGCTTTTTTTAAAAAATATATATATAAATATATATATTTTTTTTTTTTTAAGTTTGATACGTATCAATATTAGACTATAGAATATGCTTTTTTTTATGCAAAATTTTATAATTATGAGGGGGTTTAGAAAATATAATTTTTTTCTTAGTCCTTTTAACAATGAAAGGAAGGTAAAGAGGGTTTATAGCTAAATTTCCCTTATATTTTATCTAATTTTATATATATATATATATATATATTATTTTAAATTTTTATGAATGAGTTTTATTTGACTCCTTCATGGTAAAATTTACCTATGAATCCCATATGTTGATATTGATTCATTTAGTCTTAAAAGTTTTTTTTAAGAACCAATTAATTCTTTTTGTTTTGAAAAGTTGTATTTATTTGATTTGGTGTCATTTTTGGAAATAAAATGAAAATGTGAGGTGTAAAAGATTCTTTTTAGGGGGATTGATGGCTGAAGTGTTGGTTGTCGAGTGTGAAAATTTACATTTCTATTAGTGTGAGTTTCTGCTATTACATTAGAATGTTACGTTTGGAAAAAAAAAAGTACATTGAGGAGTTTTTGTGTGTTACATTGATTGAAGTGTTACGTTTGAAAAAAATATATTAAAAAGTTTTTTTTAGAATGTTACAAGTTACATTTCAGAAAAGTACACTAAGATGTTTTTTAGTGTATTACATTGGAGTGTTACATTTAAGAAAAGTATACACAGAAATTTTTATATGTTACAAATGTTTGGAAAAAGTATATTAAAGAGTTTTTATAAAATGCTATGTTGTTACGTTTGAGAAATGTACATTAAGGAATTTTTTAGTGTGTTACATTTGAAAAAAGTACACTTAAGAATTTTTTAGTATGTTACATTGGAGTGTTAAAAGTACACTAAGGAATTTTTTAGTGTGTTACATTTGGAAAAAATACACTAAAGAATTTTTTTGAAATGTTACGTTATTATGTCTGAAAAAAGTATACTGAAGAATTTTTTAGTGTGTTACATTAGAGTATTACATTTTTTGAGTGTTATATTGGAGTGTTACGTTTGGAAAAAATACACTAAAAAAAATTTTTTAAATGTTACGTTTAATAATTTCAACATTATGAGAACACTATATATTTGTCTCTCAACACATAACACGCGCGTTTATACTTGGCCCTTTATATAAGTCACATTAGAATGAAATCTTTGGGTCCATAAAAATAAAAAGTAAAAAAAAAAATTCATAAGATCACTATTTGAAATTTATTAGTGTCTCACCCAATAATTATTCTCCAAAAATACATAGATTACACAAAGGCAAACATCACAGAATTAACGGCAAGGGAAAGGATCAAATAAATTACCAAATATTTTACTAAATACTCACATAGATGTACTATAAAAAATTAAGGTTTTAGAGATCAAAATTTAGGGACAATTATTTTTAAGAGACTAAATATTTTTATTGCGAAAAGTGTAATTATAATTTTAGTAACGAAAATTAGACATTAGTGATGAAGTATTATTCTTTTGGGATCAAATTTTTTGTCTTAAAAAATAAATCATTTTGAGATCAAATTATTTTGTCCCTAAAAGTCTATTTATTAGTGGCATTTTCAAAATTCGATCACTAAAAGTCTTGTTTTTTATTTTTCAGGACGACATTTTAGTAACTATTCTGATAACGATAGAAATTGGTCCCTCAATATCTTTTGTAACAAAATTTTTACTTTTAGAAACCAAAATATTTGGTCTCTAAAACTCTTATACGTTGTAGTGATGTGAGTTGCATATGGTGTGGGTCCCATACTCATATAAATATTTAGTAGAATATTAATAATTTATTTGGAATCCTTAGTATTTTTGCAGAACTAATATGTATTTAGAAATTCTTAGTTGTAAAATAAATTGTTATAAAGAAGAGTTTGTTGCCTTACAGATCATGTGTTTATGTATATATATTGACGTGTATTGTAGTTTGGTTCAAGCAAATCCATTGTTGTAGCTCTCATTCACAAAAAAAGTATATTGTTTGTCTATTTCTCTCTCTAAATATATATGTATACACATCTATGGAGTGAGACGAAATTTCTGAGGGAGTCAAACATCATCTTTGCGTGTTTTCTTTCTTCTATTTATTTATTTATTTATTTTTGGTGTTATTAATATGTAGCATTAGTTTTGTTTTTTTATTTTATTTTTAGACTGATCAAAATTAGTTTTGCTTGGTGATCTAAGGGCTATAATAACTATACTCATCCATACGTGCAGTGGTTAAATTTTCATTTTATTTTTGTATTTTTACTTTGAGTTTCAAGTTCACTTCAATTTTAAATATAATTTACAAATTTAATTTTTATGCCCCCAAAAAAATTAGAATTATATAAGTTAGAAAAGTGAATTTTTTGTTGTAGGAAATTTTGTATAAATTCTTGTTGTATATTATTACTCACTAATCTATTTTTGGTTTGAACAATCATGACCAATGTTCCTCAGTCATCAATTTTTTTATCATCTTCCAAAACACTCATAATCAATAAATTATATGATTTCTTGTAGTGTAAAAATTTCGAGATATAATTTAATAACTTTTAGTGTTTATATATATATATATATATATATTTAAATTCATAGTGTTACAAAGGTTGTGAATGCAACCTTCTATTACATTATCGTAAAATGTGAGACAGTAAAAATTAATTTTCTCAATAATTTTCGTACGTATTAATTTATATATAACTTGCTCTTGTGATACATTGATTCTAAATGGATTTCAGGGTGTGAATCAGTATTGAACCAAAACAATGAAGATTGAAGAGAATATCATTCTGCTTCTATTGTTATTTTCTCCTCTTCTTTCAGGTTTGTTTTCTTTACATGTTATCTTTAATTTTTCTTTCTCAATAATTTTCATACATGTGTAAAAAAAGTGTAATGAAAGATGTTAAAAAAAGTACCAATAATGTTAAGGATCATGAAGAATATATCATAAAATTCATCATGAAGAATTTCCATCCCTTGATTAGTGTGTGATTAATGTGTGGTGTTTTATTGTATGGGTAATCTAAAGGTGGAGAATCTTTCATGATCACCTTTATGATATTTTTTTCATGATTCCTAACATTACTCAAAAAGTACTGAGAAAATGTGAAGCAATACTACGAGGGTGTTTGGGAAGCCTTGAAAGAGGCTATTTTAGCCTCAAATGGCAAAATAGCCAAAAAGCCTCACCGACCATTGATTTTCAAAAAAAAGAAAAAATAAAGTCAAAAAGCAATGGCTGCTGCAGCAACGCAGCCTACACTGCCACCAACAATTTTGGAATAAAGTCAGGGGTAAATTTGTCATTTCAATTTAAACATCATTTCAAACATATTTTTCAATACAACAATCAACCCAAAAATTTAACCCAACTTCCCAAACACACAAACTAAAATAGCCTACTAAAATAATCAAAAAACAAAAAACCTACTAAAATAGTCACTTCCCAAACAAGGCCTACATCTATTTACATTCTTACTAAAAATATATATGTTCAAATATCATTGGAGGTTTAAATAACATTGCTTTTTTGTCAGCCAATTATATTTAGCCCCTTGTATTTTTAGTAAGATTGTTAAAATACCTAAAATTATTCAATGTATGTGTATTGAAGGGGAAACCTTTAATTTTCTAAAGATAATAAACAAAAAAATTGAAGGTAGTTTTTAGAAACGTTTATTCAATAAGAGAAGAAATCATTGAACTTAAATCTTATGAGATGTCTTTCCATTTCAATAAGATTGCCAAATATTGTATTTCGAAATCTCGAGAAAAAATAAATACATAATCACATAAATAATGTGAATATTGAAAATATTTTTTTATATTTTAATTTTGTGTACATTCAAGTAACTTTGGTATGAGTGTTTTGGTCTCTAGTATTGCTATAATTTTATGCATTCCCATGTTGGAAGTCCCAAAAACCATCCTACTAAAAAAATTATTGGATTAATTTTTACCCTGTAGTTTGATCAAATTTCACTTTACTCCTGTAATTTTAATTTGCACAATTTGCACAATTTGTTCCCTACACTTTAAGTTTAGTTTCAATTTTGTCATTCTATGTAAATTGGGGATTAAATAAATAATTTTGGGACACTTGTCAATTCTCTAAGCTTTCAAGTTGGTCCTTCTATCTATCTAAAAAAAAAAAAAGTTGGTCCTTATGTTTAAATTGGAGATAATTTTGAGGTACTTGTCAATTTTCTAAGGTGTACAAATTGACAAAATTAACAAAAAAATAAACTGAATAACTAAATTGAAACTAGACTTGAAGTGTAGGTACTAAATTATCCAAATTCAGGCATCTGGGCAAAAAGCCAGTTTTTTGGCTTTTTTGATCACATCTCCTATCTACTTATTTTGCGAAAAAAAAAAAAAAATTAACTTTTAACTTTCTTCGCAAAACAAGCCCAGCAATTAACAACTTATATATTTGTTTTCCCAGGGCTAGTAGTTGATGCATTACCCTACGATTACAGTGCCACTAGGGAAGTAAGCTTTCATTCTTTTTCTCTTTAAAAATTTTCCAATATTTGCACATACAATCTGTACAAACAGTTTTAATTTTATCTAAGTAGAAATTGATTTGCTTTAATGTGATTTTTTTTTTTTTTTTTTTTCAGTGTTTGGAAAATCCACACAAACCTCAGTACAGTGGAGGAATTGTAGTGAACCCAGAATTAGATGATGGATTGAAGGGCTGGACAGTGTTTGGAGATGCAAAAATAGAGCATAGAGCATCGAAAGGAGGCAACACATACCTTGTCGCAAGACACAGACACAAATCGCATGACAGTTTTTCACAGAAGTTTCAATTGGAGAAGGGAATGTTCTACACCTTTTCTGGTAATTAAAAGTTGTTTTTGGTAAATTTATCAGCATTGTTAATGTACAACTTTACGGGTTTGTCTTTTGAGCTCCATCCTAACCCAAAAGCCAATTTGTCCCTTTCATCTTGTGAGATGCCACGATCCTGACTTTGATATCATACTAGATGCACAACCCATATTAGATGGGTGACTTAGCTCCGACCTGATAGTCTTGTCGTCTATGATTGACCCAACCCAGTAGTCGGTCTTCATAAAAGAGTTAGGTGTTCTACGCCATCTTATAAGTCCATCCTAGACATTGTTGACGATCATGTGGGATGACAACATGTACAAAGCGATATCCAATTTCTCTTTTAAGAAATATTAACCACTAATTATGTTGTGTTGTGGTGCAGCATGGTTGCAAGTAAGCCTAGGAAATGCAAAAGTAGCAGCCATGTTCAAAACACCATCAGGCTTTGAACATGCCGGTTGGGTTGTTGCCAAGTCTGGCTGTTGGTCCATGCTTAAGGGTGGCCTTGTTGTTAATGCTTCTGGCCCTTCTCACCTCTATTTTGAGGTAATAATGTATATATAATCAAAATCACATTGAAATCGGTCTCAGAATTGGACCTATAAAAAGTTCAGGGTTCTTCTGAGTAATTTGTTTTAAGATTTTGACTATCCGGTGTCCTTTGCAGAGCAACAATACATTGGTTGAGATATGGGCAGATAGCATTTCCTTACAACCATTCACCGAAAAGCAGTGGAGATCTCATCAACATCAAAGCATTGATAAGGTAAACAAAGATAAACTTAGGTGAAAGGCATATTGCATTGAAATTTTGGGTTATTAACAATTAAACTTGGCAGAATCGCAAGAGCTCAGTGAAACTTATTGCGATGGATGACAAAGGCAATCCTCTAGCAAACGCCAAGTTCTCCATAAAGCAACAAAGGCCCAATTTCCCATTCGGTTGTGCCATGAACAAGAACATCCTCACCAACACTGGCTACCAAAACTGGTTCAGGTCCAGGTTCAGAGTAACCACATTCGAGAATGAAATGAAATGGTACAGCACCGAGTTTTCAAGAGGCAGGGAGGACTACTCTGTTCCTGATGCCATGCTCCGGTTTGCTAGCACAAACAACATCCGTGTGCGTGGTCACAACGTTTTCTGGGACGATCCTAGGTTCCAGCCGCAATGGGTGAAATCGCTCTCATCTAATGATCTTTTGTTTGCTGTCAACAAAAGGGTGAACTCCATTGTCCCCAGATATGCAGGTATGTGAAGAAAGAAAAAAGAAAAGAAAAGAGAGTTTAAAAAAGGCAAAATCTCTTCCTTTTTTTTTTTTTAACACTAGATTATCTACTAGATAGTATAGTTTGGCCCATTATACTTGTCATGAGTTCTGTTTTTATAATATATTATGTTCATTTTTTAATTATTCATTTAAAAAAAAATGAGATTGATCTCATAACTATAACTACATGATTTTATTGTCTTAGTATTCAAAAAAATGGACAGCAACTGTTTATTTTTATAATCATGTGTATAAGGTTATCAATCTCAATTATTAAAAAGAATTTCTATACAAAATGATATGATCAGGGAAGGTCATAGCGTGGGATGTAGAGAATGAAAACTTGCATTTCCGGTTCTTCGAAAGCAAGCTTGGGCCAAACGCTTCCGCCATGTTCTTCAACGATGTTCACCGGCTTGACCCTGGAGCCATGTTGTTCTTGAACGATTACAATACGATTGAACAGAGTGGTGACGTGGCATCCTCACCCGCCAGCTACTTGCAGAAGTTTCTACAGATTCGGTCAGGGGGTTATCGAGGACCAATGGCGATTGGACTTGAGTCACATTTCAGTACTCCCAACATTCCTTACATGAGAGCTGCAATTGACAAACTTGGTGCTACAGGGTTGCCAATTTGGCTCACTGAAGTAGATATACAAGGCCCCAATCAGGTATTTGTTTTTGTTCTAATATTAAAGCTTTCTAAGAATACAGAAACCGATCAGATAATGTATTTCTAGATTTTTAAGTTCATATTTCTTTTTGCCATAGATAGTAATTGCTCACTATGAGAGAGTACTGGATTCTCTATTCTTGACGATTGACAAACTTGCTTCTACAGGGTTGCCAATTTGGCTCACTGAAGTAGATATACAAGGCCCCAATCAGGTATTTGTTTTTGTTCTAATATTACAGCTTTCTAAGAATACAGAAACCGATCAGATAATGTATTTCTAGATTTTTAAGTTCATATTTCTTTTTGCCATGGATAGTAATTGCTCACTATGAGAGGGTACTGGATTCTCTATTCTTGAATATTTTTTTATCTATTTGTATGCGTCATTAAATTATATCTCCTATGATTTTAATGAAGAGATTATTTCATTCTCTAGGATCAATACTACACCCTATCCAAATTGTGACGCATTATGGTGTCTCACAAAACACAACATAAAATTGGTAGGTCGCCCACTACTTCAACCAATAGAAGTCAGATTGAGACGCGACATCATCTTGCCCAAAGAACACTACATAATTTTCCAATCTAATGACATAGACAAAAAAACACAAAGATTTACGTAGAGATGACCATTGGCGAATCAATAAAATAAAATAAAATAAAATAAAAGCCTTCTAGGAAGGATTATTTTGGGAAGATGCAAATAGGCAGTTTTTTTTTGTTTTTTTTTTTTTTTTGGCTTATTCCCTTACTTTTTGGTTTATGCCCAAAATCAGGAAAGATGGAAAAAAGCTATTTTTAATATTTTGTTTAAAATTATTTTTATGTGTTGTCACATCACTAGGCAAAGAGATAGATTGATCATATTACTATCATAAAAATTATGTGAAATTACAACTTTACCTTAGTTCTCTTTCATACAAGAAGCATATTTTTGTAATTTCAAAAGTTGACTTATTTCCGACTTGTCAAATGATTTTTTGCTCAAATAAGTTGGCTGGCTTATTGGAAATAAGCCGAAAGCTAATTTTTTTGTCTTCCCAAAATAGCCCAAAGTGAGATAAAAGCAAAAGATTTGGGAATAGAACCAATTGCATAATCAAACACAACACACCTATGTGAGGCAATTATATTCAATTTTATTATCGACTTCAGTGTTCATAAAAATATTCTTAATTATCTGCATTTTTGTGGGCAGGCTACCTTCTTAGATCAAGTGTTAAGGGAAGGGTACTCACATCCTCGTGTCAATGGGATCATAATATGGGCGGCATGGAGTCCACAGGGGTGTTATCGGATGTGTTTGACAGACAACAATTTCAGAAATCTCCCAACTGGAGATGTCGTCGACAGGCTCATCAAGGAGTGGAGCCATTCAAGATTGTCTGCAGGCACCACAGATTCCAACGGTCACTTTAAAACTCACCTTTTTCATGGACATTACGAAGTCACTATCACTCACCCGAATATGGTGAATTCTTCAGTGACTCGAAACTTCAAGATTGCTCCCATAAAAAAATCTCAGCAAAAATTGCTACATGTTAAAGTTTCCGCGTGACAGTTGTTTAGTTTTAGTTTTTGAATGGTTGTATTGTTTTTGGGTTGTTGGTTGATTCTTCACATGGATGTGTTGAAGAATTAAGGATGTCTTTGAATCTCTCATTTGTGGAGGGAAAGTTTGAATAAGTAACACTGAAATACATTTTTTGTCATATCCTAGATGCAATAATGTTCCCCTTTGGAATAGACTATTTTAGTTGGTTTTTTTTTTTTTCATTATTTTTTTTTTTTTTTTTTTTTTTTTTTTGTTTGTTTTTTTTTTTTTTTTTTTTTTTTTTTTTGACTATTTTAACTTAGCTAAACAAGTTATGTTTGGAATGATAGTTTACTCTTTCTTTCTTAGTTGATTTAATAATTATAAAAGGAAAAATAAAATAATTATACTCCAATTTAAATGTAATTATCTTATTAACTATTTAAACATATTTTATTTTTATTGGCTATTTTTATCCAAATCTAACTTCCCAAACACCCCCAATGTTTGGTAAAAAAAAATTAAAAAAAAAAATTGAATTATTATTTGCTTAGTACATTATGAAAAGAAATTTATCCAGTGGGTATGTTAATAAATTTTTGTTTAAAATACATTTATAATTCTTAAAATGCGTTTTCTTATCACTTTGATCCTTTTAATTTTGTCAATTTCACCTTTAAATTTTTTAATTTGAGTCAATTTAGTCAAATTTTAAACTAACTGTTTAAATAATTAATGGAATGATAATAAAAGACACACTATTTTAAAGTAATATGTTTCCTGTCACTTTAGCCTTTAAAATTTTAATTTTGTCAATCGAGTCCTAAAACATTGATAAAGAAAATGAAACATAACTTTATATTATTGAAGGACGAAATTGATAAAATTGATACTTTAATAGCCAATAATTGAATTGAGATATATAATTATTCCATTGATGATTTAAACACCTTCTTAGAATTAGACCAATTTAATCTACATTGACAACTTTAAGAATCAAAATAACAAAATTAAAACTTTAAAAAAGAACAACAATGCTAGGTATCATAAAAAATCTTTCATGAAAATAATCATAAAAGTTTTGTGACCTTTGGATTACACTTACAATAAAGCACCACACACTAATTAAGGTAATCTAAGGATCATAAATCTTTCATGATCATTTTTATGAAAAAAAATTCATGATACTTAACTTTTCTCAAAAAAGAAATGCATACCTAGGACTAAAATTATTACTTATCCTTTTTTCTTTTTTTTTAATGTGTTATAAAATGAGAATGACCCAAAAAGCAATTCATATGAGGTTGATGACAATCCCATACAATAATTTTAGAAACACAAATGTATTCTACAGAATGAAATATAGATGTGAGATAAAAGTGAGTACCACATTATATGGGATTTGCACGTGAGTCCCACCATTTTGTCTCACATGTATTCCAATTCTGTAAAACACATTCCACTCCTCAATCCCATAAATCATAAAATCGCCAACTGACTAATAAGAAAATAATAATGTTGTAAATTCAGACCTATAAATTCAAAATTTATTCAAAAAAATGAATTATTGGTTCAAATTCATTTTATTCATGGATCCCACACTTCATCAATTTAACACTAATTCAAATTCATTTTGTACTTGAACCTTATACTTCATCAATTTAATCACAACTACACAAACACATTTGAGATAAATTATGAATTAATAAGATTGGATTCACAACATTTTTTACAAGAAAAAGGCACATTAAATATCTTGCAGCGAAAACAAAGTAGTACAAGTGGAACTCAAATTGAGAAATAATAACAGATTGAAAAAAAAAATAACATTGAAATTCATCTTCTTCTTCTTCTTACTGCTATGAAACAGGACACAGCAGCCATGATCAGTGTCACTGCAAAAGAGTTCACATCGTCGAAAATGGCCGAAAAGCGCATTTCTTGCAGATCCCAAAGCGTCGACACACACAGCCAAAACCCATCAAGAATCACTAGCAACATAGCCATCAGCTTGCACAGCAAATGCACTTAGCATCACAATCCAGAGAGAGAGAGAGAGAGAGAGAGTAATGAGAAGAGAAGGAGAGAGACTACTGGGGTCTTTGAAAATTAAAACGTGAAGTTCAAAAACCAGAATGAAGAAAGAGACGTTGAAGTAAGGTTGTAACACGTTAGTACATTGTTGTTTCGAATCGAGCTAATTTTCGTTTTACGTTTTGCATCTTTTACTATGCGTGTTACATTTAGGAGGAGAATTTTGAATGATTGAAGAAAAAATGTTGCCGATGCTTCGAGGATGCTTCCTTTATCTTTGTCATGTGGTATAGTGGGTCCCCAATAATCATGTACATATGACACAATCATGAGTTCCCAAGAAATTTCTTAGTTTAATTTTACTACAAAATCCCAAAAATATTTACAAAAGATAAATATTATTGACAAAGTAAATATATGCACAGAATGCAGATAAATTCTCACATTGAGGCATGTGTGGGCTCACTTTCATGTGAAAATTTATGTGCACACAGTGCACAGAATTTTGTGTATGTAGCATGGTTCTTTATGAAAACATATTTATAAATTATAATTATTTTAAATGTCATAACGTTTCATTAATTTTAAATTTATACCATATAATTTGTTTCAAAATAAAATTCGACATAAAATTTTACAATACATAGCATGTTTCTTAACCTTATTTCAACTTCGGTTCATTATTTTGCTCGAAAAAGTGCCACAATGAAAGTGTTGTTTGATCAAATTTGAGTTTTGAAATTTTTAAATGAAAATATTTTTTTATCTTATTTTTTAAATTTATGTAGCTTGATAAAATCATGTCAAGTGAAAATCACACGTTCTACACTATTTTAATGAAGTCGTGGACACTTGCTTTAGACCATGCATTTTAGCATTCACGAAAGGAACCAATTTTTCTTTAGAAGTCTCAAATTTTTACTTTCTCCAACGTCAAATAGCTGTACTTTTAATGTTTTAGAGAGGGATTTGAGATTTGATTTTATAAAAAGGGTCCAGCTTGCCTCAAGTTGAGGTCAAGATTGGACCCGTCCAGTTTGGCCCATGGGGTCCATTTTTGGGTCCGTTTTGATAATCCGAACCGTCAATGTGTAGAATTCGTCGAGTACTACATGTCTGTAAACAATCACATTGATCGGATATCAATAGCTATGTGATCAAATCAGTTTTGTATAAAAAAAAATAGATGGTGAAACAATTAACGGTTGATAAAAAACTGTTTTGTTCACATAGCTATCTATATCCGATCAACGTGATTTTTTACAGACATATAGTACTCGACGAGTTCTACACATTGAACGGTTCGGATTATCAAAACGAGACCCGTAATGAGCCCCCACAAGCCTAACAGCACGGTCCAGTCCGATCTTGGACTGGACCAAAGCCACTGCCTTACAAAAAAAAAAAACTATTGAAGGTCAATTGTTAAACAAATATTAAATGTAATGGTGGTATAAAAGTTAATGAGACCCTTGTGTAGAAGTTAGGCATGTGTCCTTTCTTGAACGGTGGGTTGCCTCTTAGCGTCATTATAATATTTATTTTGTGGTATAAAACTTATGACTTACATACTCAAAAAAAACAAAAATAAAAAACACAAAGCGGAAGAAAAATCATAAATAGAATTAAGTAAATAACTGTTCTTTCGCTATCCTAATTGTGTAGTTTTCATTATCACACCCAATGTAAGAAGTGCCATTGGTTGGGAATACCACCATGTGGTACTTAATATATATATTCAGTTGTATTAATTTAATTTACTCCTTGGCTAGTTTTATTGGAGTAAATGAGTGATTGGACAGTATATTATGTAAAATTTATTTTGTCTAAGTATTGTGTTCTAACTTTGAACTTATTTAGATCTACTCAATAGATTATTTTGCATGTTAATAGTTAGGAGTGTTGTCCCTCTCTTCAAGGGTGTTGTTTTTTAAGCATGTAATGAGTTTTATTGTAATATCTAATTTTTTTATATAAAATTTATGACTTACCTAGCAAAAATAAAAATAAATTAATTTGCTAATTTATCAACATTATACCCATAAAATAAAAAATAATTAAAAACCTGATATAAAGAAAAAAATTATTGATTATCACATTTTTAACTTACAATAAATTAAATTAAACACCCATTATGTATAGATTATTGTTGGGTATAATTTAATGGGATTTTTTTTAAGGTCCTAGCTATTAAGATTTTATAACATAAATGATATGCAATATTTTTCATAGTAGTTGGGATCCCTCGACATTTTTTAGAGAAATTTCGATCCGGAGAAAGTTTGACCTAGAGATTTCTTTGTGTTTTGAAATTTTTTGGTTTGAAATTTCTCTAGTTTGCTCAACTTCTTTGATTTTCTGTGTTTTGAAATTTCTCTAAGTTGAATTTTCTCTGATTTGCTCAAAAATTTCTTTCTAATTTGCTCACAATTTTCTCTATGCATTTGACTAATTTTCTCTGATTTGCTCATAATTTTCTCTGTGTTTTAACCAAATCAGAGAAAATTGTGTCTTTTCACAGATAAATTTCAAGCAACCTTCAACAAACACGTACACAAAAAAAGATTGACGATTAAAAATGCTCTTACTCAAATTTCTTGAATATGAGTTTATCGATTAGAGTAGTCAAATTAAGTATAATAACAGACTCATATGAACAAATATACATATATGATATAACTTTGGCAGCTGTGTATGTGTGTGTGCGAAATTTTCTCTGGCATTTGAAATTTTCTCTGACATTTGAAATTTTCTCTGACCACATTAGACTCTCAGATTTGTGTGCGATAGGTAGAGAAATTTGTAAAAATGAAATTTCTCTGGCATGTTGATTTTCTCTAGTATTAAGATATTCCTTTGAGATATGAAATTTCTCTAGAATTCCCATTGTGCTTGTTAATTTTCTTTGGAATTTATTTACTACTCCCCCTTTGAGTTTCTTCTTCAAGCTAGTTATGTGTGTGTAATTTTCTCTGATATGTTGATTTTCTGCCTTTATAGTGAACATTTTGAAAGATTGTGATAATTTTTGCGTGATGACAAGAGAATTTTGATTTTCTTTCCCTTGTTATGTTGATTTTATCTAACCAAATCACATACTC